ACTTGATAATAAAAGTAATAAATGCAAAGTATGTAAATAAATATTTAGAAACCAGATCATAATATCAACTATTAATTAGCATTTTAAAGCTTTTCTCTTTCTGAATATGCTATAATAAAATAGTATAAATATTAATAACTTGATCTTTATAGCTCTAATAAAAAGTAAAAGTAAATAATTTAAATGATAAATTTTTAAAATAGATTGTTGTTGACTAACAATCATTTTTATTATCTAAAAACACAGAATTTAATAAATTTTTGCAAGAACTTGATCTCTATTACTATCTCTCCTGTCACCAAATACTCTCAACTTGAGTTAGTTTAGAGTATAATAAAAATAAAAATAAAATTAAAATTTTTTTAAATAAAATACAATTAAAAGTTTTAATTATAATAGATAATTAGATATTATATACTCAGCAACCCTATATTGATATAACTGCACACTAAATAGATTCTGAGTGAAAAATATATTATATCTTACTTGATATAATTTTTTTTAATAAAACTCATACTACAACTAACTAGGTTAATACAATTATTAAACTTCTAAAGGAAATAAGTATTGGCCAAAAACTTCTAAGGGTCATGACTAATAATACTGCTAATATATTTGTGATAGGATATGTTCTAAAAGAAAAAATAAATATTGAATTTAGTAATTCAAATATACAACATTTTCGTTATAGTGCTTATATTCTTAATATTGTTGTAGAAGAAGGAATAAAATCAATAAACAAAGAAATTTCTAAGGCAAGAGATTTTTTTAAAAAACTTTGAAACTCTCTATTACTAATTCGAGAATTAAAAAAAATTTTTGAGTTAAAAATATTCTATTTTTAATACATAAAATTGATGTAAATATAAGATAGAATAGTATATATATAATGTTAGAAAAACTTTAACAAATCTGTCTTATAACTAATATTCTTATAACAAGCAACCAAACTTTAAAACCAAATTATCCTACTGAATATGAATGAAAAATTATTTTGGTTAGTAATTTTAATTTTTTTTAAAATTATAAAATATATCTGCTTTAATTATGTTTTAATATTACAGGATCTGCTAATTCTTCTTGAGTCTATATACTATGTGACTATAATATTGTCTTTATTCATACTTTCTACTCAAGGTAACTTGCACATGATATTCTGCAGCTTTATTATATACTTGAATAAAAATAAAAGTCCTAGAATTAGATTTGGTGATCTTAGTATAGTAGTTAAGTTGCTAAACTGCCATGCAAAAGGTCTAGAGTTCAAATTCTACTGTTGACAGAATTGAATAATTACCTAAACAACTATATTCAACTTATAGTAAACTCTGCTCATTTCTGAAGTTGTAACTCTATAAATTACATTGCACCAATACCAATTAGGGTATTAGAAGTATGATAGGGTGTTTAGAAGAGTATAACATTATACAAATAAATCTTGATAGAATCTATGAGCAGAAACCTGTATAGTAGAAATTCTGAGTTAGGTGAAGTAGTACAGATTTCAATAGTCATACTAGTTAACGTTTGATCTGGAATAGGAATCTGCATATAAAAAGATTGGCAACTAGGATGCGAGTAAGTTTATTAGATAACCTGTATACAAAAAGATCAGCAAAATAGATGTACATAAGTCTATTATATGAGATCATATAGCAATACCAACTTGGCTTGGTAGTTAACTGGATTTGAGAAAATCTGTTTCATATGATATTTGGAGGCACAGATAACTTTTGGCAACACTAATCTGAGTAGTAACCAGATTTGAGAAGGCCTATCTCATGTGATATCTAGAGGCACAAGTGACTAATTCAGTAGAAAGGAACTAGGTTTGTATGAATATTAAACAAAAATATATGCAAGCAAGTTTGGGATATAGTGTAGCATAGTTAAATACTACAGTACTCATTGATTAGGAAGTTGGTGAAAGAGTACCTGAGATAGACCTAGACTTCAAATCATAAAGTTTGTAAACTAATGTTAGCTCTGTTGATATCTTCTAAAAATAGAAATAGTATGAGGTTAGGTGAATAAGATAATACAATAGCCTTTAAGTAAAATAGCATATAGCTAGAGAGTTTAAATAGAGAATTTTTAAATAAATTTCAGGTATAGCAACTAGTGTAGAATCTTCAGATAGACTACTTAAATTAGACAATCTAAAGTTATATATGTAACTAGTTGTACTCTCATATATGTAATCATTTCCTACTATCATACCAATAAAATTCAGCCAATGGCATTTGTATAAAGTAAAAAAAAAAAAAAAAAAAAAAAAAAAAGTCCTAAAAATAATTCACAACATGCTGTAGCTAGTGCAATGAAAGAAAAATTTACATTGTATTAAGCTCACCTAAAGGAATCTTTGACAATCTCAGATCTTCTTAATTTCTGCAATAAACTTTTAACATTTGATATTTATGAATATGAACAAGCTATTAATAAACTTTATAAATTGCATAAAAAATATAAACTAACTAAAGAAAATAATCTACTTCTATTTCTCACTACTACTAAAGCAATACATACACTTTTTTGTAATCTTAATCATAGCCACTAGCCTGACATGAATTAATATAAAATTAACAAATACTTAACTGAGATTGAAACTGAAGCAGAGCTACTTCTTTGGTAAAAAGCAAATACTGCTTTGTTTTCAACTCTCTTCTGCTTTGTAATAAGCTTTCTTGTTATACAAGTAACCAGTATGCTAAGTGAACAAGCTTTCTTAGTTACCAAACATATAATTAGTCTTATTTGAAGCCCTGAAGTAGCTTACACATTCTTGTGTTTGAAAAGCTGGTATAGAAAACTAGGTGATCTATTAAATGAAGAAACAGGTAATTAATAAATAATATTTTTTTTTTTCTTTTCATTTTTTTATTTTATATAAAAAAATTTTTTTATATAAATTTTTTTTTTATATAAAATTTGTTTTATATAAAACTTTTTTTTTTTATATAAATTTATTTTTTTATATAAATTTTTTTTTATGATATAAATTTGTTTTTTATATTTTTGTACTTATAACTTCTTTTACTCGAATAAAATATTGAAAATATTGAATATTGGCAACGGTAAAATTTTTTATATCTAATGATAAATTATCAATCTGATTGGATGAACTTATGTGGAGGATTGTAATCCAGGACCCAGTCTGGGATTAATCAACTATCATTTTTTGGATCGAGTCCAGGACCGTCGTTTCAGGTCCTAGGACCGGACCGGACCGGATTCGCAATTTAACATCCCTAGCCCTACTGTGTTTGGTGCGTCAAAATTGCGTCAAAGGTATTCGGGAGTGTAATCCAGGTTTACACAGGGAGCATAATCCTAAATATATTTTGCATTAGTTCTAAACAAATTAATGATTGATTAGTTTAGAACTATATAATTGGAAATTTACTTTAAATTCGAAATACATAAATATTCAGGATTATGCTCTCCTTATGTAAACCCGGGTTATGTAAACCTGGGTCACGTTCGATGGACCTTCGACGCAATTTTGACGGGTGGGGCGGAATCGATAAATCAGCTGTTATAATATCAATTTTTTAAAATTTCTTATAATGCCATTATATCAAACGTATAAACTTTGTTATAATGACGATTATTACAAAAACACTAATGGTCTGAGGGTTCATTATAAAAAGTGCATGTTATAATAAGGTTGGTCGTAATGGCTAATTGTTAAACTTTATTTAAACTATTTACTTTGCATAACTCTTGTTTACCTAAAAATGGGAAATTTTCTTCATTATCTCTTTCTTAATTTGGTAGTAAACTTCTTTCAACAACGGGCCAAAAACGAAATGAACTATTTCTTTTCAAATATGGATAAGAAAAGGACTTTGAGTACGATGTTGCATCTATCATACAAACAATATAGACTCGACTAGCAAAAATATATTCTGCAGTTAAGTCTTAAATTTTATCCAAAAATTTAGAATGTATAATCTAATTGTCGTTTAAGATACGTAATTTAAAAATATCCTTCCATTGTTCGAGAACCTAGATGCAGACGTTTCTGTTTTAAGAAAAGTCGTGGATTTATGACATAATCGATATACTTCAATATAACCTGATTTATCTTATAATAACAACTTCTAAATTTGGATTCTCGGGATCATTTATCGTTATTGGATAATTACAAGTTCTTGTTTTAATTTCGCGAATCGAGTTATAAAAAAAATATTTTATTTGTTTTTTAGATTAAAAAATCAAATAAATTATAGTCGTCATTAATCAAATAGCAAATGTAATACTAAAAGACTAAATGATTGAATTTTACACCTATTTTTTATTGTGTATTCTTAATAGCATTTAGTCCTAAACTTATATTTCTCCAACTTACCCGTACTTTGTGCCTAATTATAAAGCATTGTTTGTTTGGACACTCAGATCTCAAATATTTGAATCCCTTACTTTCATATGATCCAGGATTGTTACATTACTGGTTATTTGGTTTATTATTTCGTAAATTTTTCAAAACCTATTTTTCATTAGTACGGAAGAATATACTTATGTATTGTAAAGGTAAGCTTTTGACAATATGTAACGTTGCATAGTGTATTGTAGCCGAAACCATTTCTATCTGGTCGGCAATTATATTGTTCTTGATTAACAAATTTGTCAAGAGCATATATTCGTGCGCAAGTAATCCGTGCGCAAGTTTAAGGTACAATTTCGTGCCCTGAATGGAATATATATACATGCTAATAAATGTACATAGTTGAAATCTTTAAGTTTAGCCCAAATTTTGCCATGGGTCGCATTGTATTTAAATGTATTATATAAGCAATTTTTTTATATTACGCGTCAAAAATATAAATCGGGACTTTTTTTGATCACATACGCCATCACAGATTTTTTTAACATAAATTATACTGAAATTGTTGAAATTTCCTCTTTCCTTCATCAATTATCAAAAGTATTATAAAATCTCAAGAATACGTGAAGATAAAATACAAAACTATCGCTGTATTTTTAAAAATATCAATATGCCGAAAGTTAAAACTCCTAGATCTCGTTCTAGCTCACCATCTGAAGTTATACGTGAAGCGGGTCGAATGCCTATCGTTCGACAAGAAATAGACCTTAGTAAAGAGCCCCATGAAGTGGTACAACTGGTAAATGAGCTCATTCGTGAATATGGAGATGTTCGAACAACGAAAAGGATAGACCATTTATGGAATTCTTCTGTTAATACTAGAGCTAAAACAATTCCACGTCCACAAAATTGTTTTATACTCTTTCGCAACGATATAACGGCCGAGTATAATCCACAAAAAGGTGATAATAACGCTGATATTAGCGATAAGAAAAAAACTGGTAAAAACGTTCCAAAATCGTCTAAAATCGCAAAGGAAAGGTGGGCAGCTATTAAGAGAGACAATCAACGTGAATACCAATTTTGGATTAAATTAACGGAAATAGCAAAGCTGAAGCACACATTATTATATCCAAATTATAAATATTCTCCTGTTAGAAACAAAGAATCGAGGAGCAATGCTGATAGAAAACGTAAAAGATCGAATAACATTGATGAGCAAAACGTTCAAAATCAGGAACACAAATCACCGTCTGCTCCTTCAAGCATGCCTCCTGTTATGGTAAGCCCAGAATCTCTTGCGACATCTCGTATAATTATCCTTCCAGAAACTATTCATCTTGGGCTTGATGATATCAATACTACTACTACAAAACAACTTCTGAACGATAAATCCGCAGAAATAAAGTCTGATAAAAATACCGCTTTGTTGCAGACTCAGGAAGCAAAGAACTTAGTACAAACTTTGCCTGACCATAGTAGATCATGTCAAAATAATTTGACGAGCTCTGACTCGACACAACTTTTACCTATTAGACCCCCTTCAAATCAACAGTTGATCTACACTTATCCCACATCAACGCAAATACCAGGGATGGCTGCTCAGTACACCCCTATATATAAAGAAAGGAGAAGTTCTTCACCTTACTATTTATCGCCGACGATAATGGAACAACAAATCATCCCTCAGCAAAATATCGCCACCCAAATAGCACAACAATATTTGACTTCGAGGGTTATGATGCCTGCAAGTCAACATCAATATATTCAAACTGCACCGCAACAATTTATCAATCCTACTATGCTCTTAGCTGCCTCTCCTGGACAACAATATCTTCAATATTATCAACCACAAACGCCTCAACACGTAAATTCTACTTCTATAATGCCACTTCCAACATCACAACATTCTCAACAACAAACACCTCAATACATATCACCCGGAACTATAATCTCACCATCACAACCACATGGCCAACAATCTTCGACTGCAAGTCGATTTAATCCCAGAATTGAATATTATCAAGATGATTTATTTATGTTAGGCATCAATGGCTTAATTGATCCTGCATTAATTCATGAAAATGATCCATATATTTCTAGTTTTAGTAGTTTTAGCAGCTTTAGTAGTGAGGATCCTTAATGTTTTGACTATCAACAAATTTATTTGTCGTTCTTGGCTTTCAATGGTATATAGAATAGGACATGTATTTTGTTAATTATATAATATTATCCTAACTTTCTATTTATTACCAATGAATTCTTTTTTTTTTGAGTATGTAAAAAAAAACAGTTTGTACGTGTAGCAAAAGTAGATTAGACTGAAAAAATTAATCAATCAATAGCTACTAATATTTTTTGAGGGTTATTTTTCATTCGTTTTTTTTATTTTTTTTTTCTATAATTAATTATTATTGGACTAATTTGTATCATAACATTTTTCACATGTAAAATAATAAAACTTTTATTGACAAAGTGATAAAATACACGAGAATAGAATTTAATTAATTCGTTCCTTTTTTTTGCATTCAATCATAAGGCCACGCAAAGTTGATTTTTCGTTTTTTTTAAAAAAAAAAAAAAATGTTAAAGTTGCCAAAGGAAAACCAGACCTCGGGCTTACAATTTTATTTGTTGCTGACATGTTTTAGTTCAGTAAATTATAGATTTTAAAAGCCTGAAGTCTGGAATCCTATCGGATAATTCCGGAAAATTATGGTCACCATCGGGTAACACCGGATAACAAAGATCGAAAAATAAAAAAGCATGGGATTTTGAAAAATTTGGGTCGGCAGGTAATGTAAACGAAAAACCAACTTTGCGTGGCCTAAAGGCAATTAACCTTTGGTGCAGAAGACATTTATATTTAATCATTTTTAAATTTTTATCGGATCCCATATAAATTAAACTAATAATTTTCATAAATTTTTTTTAATAAATTTAACATGTAAATTGGGTTGAATAACTTACATCAAGATTATTTCCTTGATATTATAGTGCAAATCACTTCAAAAATCTTATTCATAATGAAAGAGTATTTATGTATTCAGGAAAATAAATACATTCCTTTTCACGTAAAACATGTTAAACTAGACAAATAAATATCATTTAATTTGTGAAAACCATAAGATATATTAATGTCAACAAATTATAGATTATATTACAAAATTAATTCGTTTCGACAAGATTTTCATCACCTCAAATTCCATATTCTCATTCATATATCGTTAAGATTCTTAAAATACGAAACTTCTTTATATGTAATGCAATTTTAGGATTCGTTTGTTGAAATTCACATATTTACTCTCACTAACCATACCCGACTTATTATTGGAAAATATGCTTACCATGACAATGAATCTATAGTGTTTATCCGTTAAACCATATTTTAAGGTTTAGATATTCTGATATCTCTAAAGTGGATACTTCCCTTTCCCATGAAAATGTAAATCAAGTATCAAGCTTAGCACAAATCATTTTAGAAATGGCTAATGTGAATAACTCATAAATATTATTCATTTGATAGGAATCTAACTATTCATGCAGAAAGCTAACTTAGTATAGTACTTAAAATTTTTTTTCTAATAATTCTATGCAAAACCTTCATACCCCTTTAATTTTTAGATGTTATTCGCTTTCCTTCTGAATCACCACTCCACAATCCCATCAATACCATCAGATGGCAAACGAAAAGTAATGTAGAACTCTCACTTGTAGCGGGATAAACATTCCAACAATATTCTATTACTGCAATGATACCAAATCTTGAATATGAAATTAAAGTAATAGTAAATAAATGTCACTAACTATTTAAATGCAGATGCATGATTAAATGAATTTGACCTACCTAAAAAAGACCGGGATTTTTGTGCAATGCCATAATAAATATGGTAATCCATGAAAATACCATGAATAGAACTGATAATGTAAAGTTCGTGAAAACACAATTCCGATAAAGTTGCTTGTCAACATCAGAATAGTTATATCTGATGTGATTTTGATTGAAATGTTAATAAGAAATATATGGATTGGTTTATTACTGTATTATGGTTAAGTAATATAAAAGTAATATAAACATACGATTAGCTGTAATGGATCTTTTCATTTTAGCGATTTCCGAAGGTTTTCCAAAAAATCCAAGATGCAGCACACGAAGTACACCGTTATCAGAACTTTATGTTAAAATATTTTTGTTTTATGTTATAAACATCACACACGGTATAAAAAAATAAAAAAAAATAAAAAAAATAAAAAAAAGTCTTATACATAATTAATATTTTGCTTACCGACACCAACTTCCAAACAAAAAAGCTATCAGAACCCAAACATGA